TTTAACTGTCACCAAATTTTAATCAATCCTATCCTATTATTTAAAAAACGAATAGATAATTTTTAATGTCCAATAAATTTTAATTTTACAAATGGAAAAAAATATTCTTGTAGATTGAATTGTTTATCTTTTTATTATATTGTCAATATACTGAATATATAATACAAATATATCGCGTGCGATTTATTTACGAGCGATTAAAATTTGATCGACGATTTGATAAATGAATCCAATCGAAATCTAACGGTCCTGCTGCAAATATAACGAGGTTATATTGTTTTTATTTGCGATCAATGAGAATCGGAAATTCTGTTCTTCGTAAAAATTCTAGCAACGCAAGTAATCGCGAACGAGTAGCCACGAATGAACTGCATCTTTCGGCGTCGCTTCGATGCCAATAGTAGCCGTTGCAAATTTTATCGCACGTTATTCGCGAGGTCAGCCCGATCGAGATTATCCTTACCGTTAACTAACGTTTTACGACGGCTATCAGAGTAGATTACAAAGTGGTGGCTATTGAGGTTTTATGTAATTTTTCGAAGAGCCGGCATATTTATACGTCAAAAGGAATCATTTTCAGTTTTATGACGGGCGGAGCAGTAGTAAAAAGCTAATTGCTGCGAATAACTGAAATGATGCGCGTATACTTGTTTAAAATATAAAGGAAGAAAGTGGCGAATCAAGATGCGGAAGAGTAGGAATTTTAATACTTCTCATAAAATTCATAATTTTTAAGGAAATTAAAAATATTAAATATGTATTTATCTTAAGCGATTTCAAAGAAATACGATAGCTTTTATTCTTAAATCTTCTTTGTAAAATAGATAAAAAATGTAAGAGAGAACTTTTCAGTAATCATATATATATGTGTATATATATATGTATATGTATAATATAATCATTTCAAGTAATTAATTTTTTTTAATGAAGAGTGAATTCTTCTGTCAATTTTAATTTCTCTCTTAGCTCTTAATATTAAAGATATCTGTAATATTCTCTCGCGATAAATTTATTATGATCAATGGGCAATCGCGTCATTTATATAATTCAATTTAATTTCATTTTATTAATTGATCTTATCTATATTTCATGCTCTCTTTTTCCATTCATTTGTCAATCATTTGTCAATAATTCCAGGCAATATTTTAACTAAAATAATATATTATTTTAAAATTATTAAATGTCTACATTGAGACATTTAAATTTTTTAAATATTTTTAATATATTTTATAGTCATATGTTATCAAAAATTGATCTCATGATAAATACAGTATCACTGATAAATATAGTATATTTATCTCGTCTGTCATCGCAATCATTTCCAAAGATGCGTATTTACATCGCGGTAACTCGATCCAACGTAAGCGTTGCTAATTCTCCGCCACTCGATTCGTATACCACGACTCCGTGATAACGCAATTGAGAACGGTATCGAATCTACGACATCCTAATTATCTACCTACTTTTGAGAGTACACAAAGCCTCTTTTGAGTCCCGATGATGGTACAACGCGATCGATTCTGACTTATCTGTCGTTGGGTTACTGCGGTTCTTCCCCACGCCCGCCTACGTGCGTGCGTACGTGTGCGTGCCATGCATACGAGTATCACGTGCGCGTGCACATATGCATATAATAGCAAAGGGAGTAGAAGGAAAGGGAGACAGAATGAAGGAACACTGGAAACGCAACTACGATGATGGCTGCATGGATTAGGTGCATTGGGGTATATGATAATCGCACAGGAATAGAGAGGACACGTCGTCTTTCTCCAACCCCGATTTTCATCGTTTCTCCTCCCGAACCTCCTCCTTCTTTCGTGTGTCTCAGCCGCGACCCCTCTTGAACACGTCGCTCTGAAATTGCTTCTCGAGATTCCGCCGCTCGTTAATGCTCGCATGCATTTTGTGCATCGTTACATTCTAAACCTATCGGGCGCTAGCCAGCCCTTTCTTCCTCTCTTCCTTTCACTTTATCTTCCTTCGTTTACGCGATGTACTCATCTGACATCAAGGTACCGCGCTTGCTTTAACTAAGAATATTTCTAACAAGGGAAGCCGATTTGATTCTCCATGAAATATGGTGTTAAACTTAGAGTTTTATTAAGAGTCGAAAATCTAAGAGAGATACGTATTTTTTTATACGTGCACTAACTCATGTTTAAGGAGTGAAACACCCCTTTGAAAAAAAAATATCTATTTCGATTTTGTTTAACAATTGTTAACAAAAAAAATTAAAAAAAAAATTTTTTTTTCTTCACAACATTGAAGTACTCTTGAAATCGTATAACCTTTGTTTAAAAAATTTTTTTCCATCTTTTATACTTCCGATGGTATTCGGCTCGAAATAGATATTTTTTTTCAAAGGGGTGTTTCATCATAAACATGAGTTAGCGCACGTATAAAAAAATACGTGTCTCTTAGATTTTCGTGTTTAACAACATATTTCATGGAGAATCAAATCGATTCCGGACAGTTGTGAAACTTCCTTTGTAAATACGCAGGTGGAGGAGGTGCTTAGAACACCCCTAAAAAATTGTATTTTTTTTACAGTTATATTTTTTAATATTTTTAATAATATATGCAGAGTTAAATTTGTGTTATATCCTTATAAGATGGATGAGTGAAAAAATAATGAACTTTAAAACTTCTGAGCATATTTATTTTTCTTTTCTGGTAAAAGATTTTTAAGATAATTATGCGTGAGAGGGTATAGCCACCTGCCTACTTAAAGGTTAATAAATTGTAATGTATCGATAAGTATTTACAAAAATTAACGAAAAGGCTGTTTTGTCATTTATTTGATTGAAACATTTTGTAATCTTTTTTCGATAAAATATTCGTAAAAAGAATTACGTTTACATTTTTGCAATGTAATTCCAAAAACTTTCACGTTTTTCATTTTCTTCCATGATGTAGACATTAAATCCAAGTTTCGTAACCGTACCGTGAACAACGTCGCAGATATTCGAATATTTTTTTGTTTTCTCACTGGAAAACCTTGGATTTATGAAGAGAAAATGACGCCCCTCGCGTATTGGGCCGCGCCGGCTGGCGTGCCTCAGCAATGTGGGTTTTTCTTCAACTTCCGCGATCAGTTACACGTCGTCGGAGATTGCAGCTGGGCTCGCACAGTCGGGCTAATATGCAAGAGAGAGGAAATGGTCCCGAGAGAAATTTGTAGGCACTGCCGTCGACGTCTGAACAGATTTCTTTTCGACAGAGTTATACCCAAACCCTGAAAAGTCATTCCAGGAACTTTCACTCTTATGCGTATGCCCTATGAAAGTGACGAAAGACTGACAAAAAATACAGAACCGAAACTATAAGAATGTATGAAGACAGGCATAAATCGGACAGTTTAGAAATTCTGTATGTCCAAGAATTGAAATTGTCAATGAAATAGCAAAATTCATTAAATCAATGCACATGTCATTTTTGGAGCGTAAAGAGATATTCCCAGGACAACATACGTATCTAAAATCGTCATATACATAAGACGTCTGTAAGATTTTAGACTTTGTGTTGTGTAGTTCGTCGTTTCTCATTTAAAGTAATACGTTTTATGTATAAGTTCACGTCAAAAATATTTTAAGTTGATGTATAAATATTAAGGTCCAGAACATTTGTTTATCACTCAAGCTATTTGAACACATGTTAAAGCATCGTATATATACACGGAAGGAACGATTTTGCTAAAGTATCTAAAAATTTAGCTAGATACAAATTTGAAAATAATTTCGTTGGACCATCAAAATAATTACGAAAGAATCTCAAGCATGATGAACAATGTTGTCAAACACTTTATTCTAACAACCAGTTTGAGCGTCTTATATAATTATTTTGATGGTCCAACAAAATTATTTTCAGATCTGTACCTAGCTAAATTTTTAGATAGTTTAGCAAAATCATTTTTTGTGTACAAGAAAGAAGATAAAAGTAGAATATAATGTGACATTTTCTCACAATTTATGTCAAAGATATTGATTAAATACTTATAAAAAATATAAGATTCTTGCTACAGAAGAATTACCAAGAAACTTGCAACATGGTAAAATACATACATACACTCGTATATACGCCGATGGAATCTCCTAAATCAATTAACACGAGAACGGTTTAATTCTACGAGCGTGCTACGGTATGTTCCCGGACTTAACATGCCGGCCGAAACCTCCCATCTATCTCACAGGGTTTTCCAAGGTTTACGGCAACAACGCTCTTTCGTCCCCTGCGCATACACGTCATGGCCACTTCCACCCTCGTTATTAACCTCTTCGAGGCAACTTTCATACTCTGTTTAAAATTTGTAGGAGAACATACACGCTAGAGTCCATCGTAACTCACATAATTAAGTTTCTTAAAAAATGCGACTGAAATAATAGACAATAAAAGACAATAAACTCGGATAGAGATCTTTTATCAGATAAATAATTCACCTGATTAATAATACTCTGACTAATAAAGCAAAATGATTTCGTGCTCGTGGACAGGCATGTATTCGTTTCCTTTTACAGTGAAAAATAAAATTTATGTCTTTTGATTTTCAGCAAGTGACAACTTCTTACAACTTAATTAACGCCTTACATTATACATATTATACACATATGTTCGTATTATACACACATATATGCACATACTTTGACGTTTACTTTCAAACAAAGAATCTTTTGAGAAACATTCCATTTGCCATTACAATTTCTCGAAGCGAAGCCAGCCAGCCAGCCAGCACAATTCTGCACAACGGTTGTACTCACCGATGTGACAATTTAAAATGTGCTCGCTGCGAAGTTAAAGAGAACATGCGGAAGGCGGTGGGATGCAAAACTGGCTTCTGCCTGCGGCGCGGCGAGTCGCGACTTCGCGAGAGGCTCTACGGGACGTGCCGCGCGTAAATATCCGCACGCGTTGTAGCCAGCTCCTTAATTGGCGCAAGGATCGAGGGGGGCTTACCCGCGGCAAGGAACCGCGATCCGAAATCGTAAATACTTTCTCGCACTCACCTATATTTCGTGCGACGACGGCGCAGCCGTTGGTTAAGAACCACGCAAGTAGCAGACTGCCGAGGATCGGAGCTCCTCCTTTCCGTCGACCCTTGCGGCACTCCATCGTGAGGTTCCGAGCTCCGACTACGCCTGAAAGCAGAGAAAGAAACGATCACGCTCTGTGCATTGGGGCGTGCTGCTCGCCGATGGCTCTTGCATTTCGCGCCAACTATGTGTACGCTCACCCCGGAGTGCATCGCGATTTCCGAGAACACATACGTTCGGTATGCCAAGATTGGACGCCATCACGTTATTATTGCGTTTACGTAAATCGTACACTTTATCAGGTGACCATTCTTACGTTCTCTATCTTGTTTGTTGTTGTTTTTTTTGCAGAGACGCGCGGTCGACTTACGGTCGCGATTATACGTGGAAATGCGATTCAGGCTAAGATATCATACATGCGGTGCACGTCGTAAACTAGATTAAAGTATAGATAGATATGTTGAATAGATATATTATAAGTATTCGGTATGCTGGAATTAAGAAAACACTTGCATGTCGTGTGTATGAAACAGATATTATTTCTCGATATAATTTTTCTTATCTTTCTAAAAAGATTTAAAATTGCATAGAAAGAACGGTTTTGTTGAAATATCTAAGAATTAGCTAGCTACAGATCTGAAAATAAATATACTAAAATAATTATACTAATCAAAATAATTATGTAGGATGCTCAAGCATGATGATAATACTTTAAAAAGTTTTGACAACTAGCTTGGGCGTTCAATAATTGTTTTGCCAAAAACGAAAAAAGTTCGAAAATTACAGTTTTGTTACCAACTTCTGACTTATAACAATATTTACCTTACATACAAGTTTTATACTTCATACATACATATAAAACAATCTTGATTTGGGCTTGAACATTACATGAACAAACAATATTGAGTTCTTAGAATTAGGTTTAGATACTTAATATGAAAGATTAGCTAGTTAGAAAATTTACGTACATGTGCGTGTGATATTGATGTAATAGTGTGTGATGTGTCAACGTACATCGTGTGTATGTAAGTTCTATTAAATCGATAAAACATATGACTTCAGGATCTCCTGGAAGAGACACATTATTTAAGACAATTTTAAAATAAAAGCCTATAACTATAAATACGGCCCTTAAACACTTCAACAAAATCGTTTTTTCTGTATTTCTTTAAATTTAAATTATCGTATTAATAGATTCAAATAAGTCTATTGATCGCACCATATTTTAGGTGCGTTCCATTTAACACGCTTACAGCACTTGTAATCATCATTTGTCCTTGTTAAATATTTGATAGACAACAAAGATGAATTGATGCTTATAGCGTGTAAACGTGAAAACGCACTCATTATGTTATTTTTTAAACGTAACACGTATGGCATATGGTTATGGATCGCAGTTCACCACCCTAATTCATCTTGTTTCACCCGTTGCACAACGCACACTGTTTTTATTCGATAGAATCGCGCCGTGTTCGTGCGGTCTGCAAATTTCGAAACGCTGACACCAAAATTGTTTTCCTTTTTCGCCTTCGTTAACCTACATTCACGCGAACGCACACATATCCCCAACCCCTTCGCTTCGCTAGACGCGCGGATTAAGCTGATTTATAGTGTTTACCGGCGATGCTCGCTCGATTTTTCCTGCGACGTCGCGCGTGCGCCCATCGACCTATCAGCTTATCGGAAAAAAAAAATACCATATGGAATTTCGAGGAAAAAGAATGAGAGTCACGTCGTGTCCCGTTGGGTCGCCGCCGAAGGGGGTAGCAGGTGACTCGTGTAGATTACGCGCAAAAGTGTGCATTTTCGGCAAATGTTAAATCTTAAGTAAAATACATATGTTATTTACGGTAAAATATAACTGACGGAAAAAAGATGACAAATAGTACATTTATATAAAAGAGTGAATAAATAATAGAGTAGAACGGGGCTTTTCCGTCTATTTTTCACTTTTTGATAGTGTTTGTTACTGAACAGCGTATACTGAACATTTAAAGGTCACTGCAAAAAGATGTTGTTTGTTAACTTTAATCACTTTAAAGGTTGAAACTGACGGAATGCTCCGCTTTACTCTTTTACTCTAATCGTACATCAAATGCCTTTTATTTAAAAAATATTGTAGGTGCAAGAAAACTCAAGGTACAATAAATTTCAAGTACATATCGATACCTTTAATCGACTGAGAATTCAAAATGCCTGATCTTTGAAAAAAAAATCTAGATAGATAATTTTGTCTTCTAAAAAATATTATAAAATTGATTAGAATTATATAAGTATTATACAATACTTAACCAATTAATATTTAAAATACTTATTTAAACTATTTATTATATATAATATTAATATTATTAATGTTATCATTAATCGCTCTCTTTTTAATTCTGGAATGTGTAAACGTTTTTTCGAACATTTTGTAATTGAACACATTGAAATGAAAAATTCAGTAATTCTTCAATATACATTTTAAATCTCAAATATATTGTGTATGTGTGTAAGGTTTCCTAAAAAATTTCCATCAAATCTCTCGGAATAAAACTTCTAATTCTAAGGGTAAGTATATCGCGAGCCAACGAGCAGTCGTCTCGATTATGAAGAAGGAAGTTCATCGAGCCACAAACCGCCACGTGCATCACGGCGGACCACTTCACAGATTGCATCGGCTGGATTGCAGCGGTGCATTTCCGCGGACGCGGAAGAACAGCGACACGAGATATCCTGGAGTGCTGCCAGTTCGTTTCGAGCAGACCGCGTTAATTTTTCCGACGAGTCTAATTAAGTCTCCCTTCCGCATCTCCTTTTCATCCTCTCGCTTCTCGTTTTCTCCTTCCTTCTTGATGCCGCTGGCATTCAACACTTAATACGACGAACGTGGAAGCCACGTAGCAACGCGATTATCGCCGAAACATCTGTAAACTCCCGGTATAACGACGATAATTGAATGCGCTGGCTGTCCCCTTCTCTTCCCTTTCGTTGGTGCAACGTGCACAAACGCATCCTCGCGTACGTCCCATGCATTACGCATAATTAATCCGACGATGCTATCTTCTCTAACCTTGTATCTGCGCGTTCATCGCGCGAATAGAATCGGCGATGCGCTATTCTCCTTTCATCAATGTTGCCCTCTCTTTTCTTCTTTGCAACGTACCGCAATGTTACATACGATGTGCCATGCGTATGCCGATACGTAGTACACTGCGATAATCACGATAAGCTCGATGACAACGCGATTCCCATCTCCGAGGTCGACGCGGTCGAAGGGAGAAAGATCATTTATTAAAAAGGAAAGGAAAGAGAGTAAAAGAGCAGAAGAGGATATATTCGCCCGACACAATCGAGCGAGTAGTAAGGCGACTATGTCTTTTTTTTTCCTTTAATACTATTCCGCCGCGGATTTTTCAGATCGGTAATCGAACGCTAGGAAGGAATTCCCAACGATGCACTTCGCGGTGCACCTTCGAACGTTCTTGGAAATGCTTTTATCGTTTCCGAGCTATCGCCATGTTCAGTTCTTGAGTCGAGCTATAGAAAAAAAAAAAAACGTTCAAGTGCAGCGAGATGCTTCCCGTTGACACCAAAATTATATACCAAAAAAGTACGATAAAAATAAAAATAGAGCAAGCCATTTACTGGAATAAAATACTTATTGAGACGATTTGCTTGTAAAATGTTTTCAGAAAATGTTGAAGGATTGCTAATTTTCAAGATATAATATTTTTGTATCGTTATTCTTCAATTTAAAAATTCTAAGTATTTGTATTTTTGTTACGATATTTTTATTGAAGATCTTGCGATATTTTAAAATGCGCGAAAACATCCTGTATTAAAAAATCTTTTTTATTGTCAATAAATTTTTGTGTAAAAAATATTTTCTTTTATTATGAAAAAGATAAAAACATAAAGTTTTTATGACACAGAATCACATTCAATGTTATCCATTATTAACATTTTAATTCAAGAAATATTTCTGAATACCACAAAAAAATTTTTAGTAAATTTGTTTTAATTCCTTAAAATTCAAAAAGATCTCACACTTTGGAAATGGAATCATTGTAAAAACGGGACTTAAAATATAATAATTCACATACTTCTGGGATCCCTTATAAAAATTTTCTAATTTTCCAATTTCTCTAAATTTAATGAAGACACATGTAGCACTTCACGTTACTTTCAATATTACTTTAGGATCCTTAAATGATAGTGACAAAATGTCGGAAGTAATTTTCTACCATTTAATCGCATTATTAACACCTTGACGTAATTATAGCGATGAAATTTATTTAACATTGTTTCTCACATAAAATTTCAGTAAACGAAGAACACATCCTGTGTCGGTACTTAGAACATAATAAATAATTCAATAATAATTTCCACATCCCGTCGGACTGTGTCAGGACGAGAGAAGTGACGCGCCGCCGTCGCCGCCGTCACCACCGCCGCCGCCCGGATGAAAACATAAATCTACATATTATTAAAGCAGCGGCGATCAAAGCGATCGAAATAATGCAGATTATCAGAAAACGCCGGTGCCGCGGCAATTTCTGCAGGCACTTAAAATCATTTCGACGCCTCTCGCCGATGAATATTGAACAGCCACGCACCTGCCGACCGCCTCTCCCCTTTCCAATCACTCGTCTCCCCTTCATCCCTCCGGCCATCCCCCGTCTCTCGTTTCGCAATGATTTCGAGCACGAACTCGTCCATCATTGACGACCCCCGCGCAAAATGATGCTCGCAATGAACTGTGCGATTGCGAGAGCGCAATGAGCAAGGGAGAATCAAAATTATTTGTTGAAAATCACATTATCGCATCGGCGGAGATACGGTATACGCGACCGCGACCTCGCGAGTTTCAATTTTACACTCAGGCGCATTTTAATGCACACCGCGCAAAGCCCGGGGCACCGATCGGCGCGCAATTAAAAATAATTGACGACGACAACGAGCCGATGTTATGGGCCGGAGGCGACCGCACGGGAAATTAACTCGCAATTCTCTCTGCGGAAAATCCGTCGCGAATCTGGCTCGTGTGTTGAACGAGAACCGAGTTCCCAAGAATGCAAACGACGCGCGACGTTGCTTACCATTAAGGTGTCTTATCGTTAATT